CTCAGCGAATGATAGATGACAGCCCTAAGAGCTCGGAAGCTGCTGCTAGCTCCACTGTGGACATGGTCAGTCGAGGGGGCATGATCAGATATGTATAGAAGCGCTGGGTGTGGCTGAGAGCAGGTACGAGGAGACGACGAGAAGGGGGGGATGGGGCAGGCAGAGTATTGGACTGGCTACCTTACAAGCTTCGACTATCGCGGGCACGAGGCAACGGCCGCGTCGGCAGCGGGCGGCACGGGCTGGTGGGGGGTGGGTGGAATGCGGCCGGAGGCGTCGAAGCGATGGACGTCGTCTGCTGAAGATGGGCTGCCAGGGATGGAGGACCTGCTGGAACAAAGCACGCTCGGATGGGGAGTCTGGCAGCGGGAGCGCGATGCGATGGTTGACGAGGGGAGGTTTCGGGCCAGATGCAAAGGGGTGTGGGATGAGAGTCGATACGTCGTTGGAGGGGGCACATGATTGGCAGCACTGGGCCAGGCGCTGCCTAGCGCGGTCGCACCGCTGGGGTTCAGTGAGCTTAGAGCTCCAGAAATGCCCCCCGAGGTGAGAGAGAGTGCCGCAGCGACCAAGTAATGCCGCTCACCTTGGCGCGGATACTTTGTATATGCACTGAGACTGGGCGATAGCGATAAGCGGCACCGCAACGTCATCGCTCCTGGGCGAGGTATGGCATGGCCGACTCCCTGGCCCGGTTGCAACAGCGACGGGACCGAGGAGGTGGACTTGCGCATTCCGCGAGGCATGGCATGTTCTATTTTGTTTCGAAGTACGAAGTAAGCTGACCGACTTCTGAATCGCCAAGTTCCAGCGATAACGGTTATCTGATCGATCTCGAGTCTGAGCAGAGCAGTGCGTGGCACCAACTTGAAAGTATGTACATGCGCGTTGGTGGCAAGCGCTGCGACGCCGTATTCCGCGCTCTGTGTTCCGTGTACACCACACCCAGACATCTCTAGTCTGGCCCATCGCTGCCTGTGCCTGACCTGAGCCGAACTGGATCTGCCTACCTAACCTACCTGTAGCCACAGCACCCGTCCCTCGTCCGCCTTCAGCTCGACCAACGCGCGGAGCATCGCCACGGCAATGCAGAGCAGAACAGAGACATGGGCATCGAGAGTCGTCATCGTCATCGCCATGGGGCTGACCTCTGGAACCGGTGCCTTACATGACCGCGTGGCCAGGGCGGTAGATGGCTCACGGAAGAGCTAGCAACGCATGACCAGTGAGAGACACTACGATGGTTCAAAACGCCCGGCGATGGGAACCCCCCCGAGAGTTATAGCGAGCAACTGGCGCTGGATGTCTTAACGGCATCGAGTCACGCTCAACCTGGTCTCTCTGCCTCCCCCCCCCTCCCTCCTGGCTTTGTAACGTAGGTGTGGTTGCTAAGGGGAGCGGGCCAACCACTCTTTTGCGGCGCTCGCCAACCGAGTCAGAAGACGAGGAAAGGCATCAAGATTCCTCGTACTGGAGATACGGTATTTTTAGCCATCGGCAGTGGACGGACGAGTATAAGAACGTGAGGCCCGGGTACCTTGATGCTAAGTTTTTTGGAAAGGAGATTTGGGATGATCCATAATCTGCATCGCCGTGCATCCATCTGCTGCTGCTTTTGTTCCGATTTTGCCTCGCCTGGCCTTTGAGCATCGGCGGGTGTAACAAGCTGCAGCCTAATAGAGTCCTCCCGCATTCCTCATCCCCCAAGACCTACTACACACCTCACATAAAGAGCCCACACGGCCCGATTCGTCCGCCTCAGCCAACAGCGAGCATCAAAGTATTTAGTACCCAACGATAGCAAGTTGAAGTGCTCAGCTTCTGGTCCATCTCATAACATACATTTATGTATAAGCACTTGCATATGCGTATGCACGTTCGAGCCCCGAGAGAAGACACAGCGCAACAACAGAGACTATCACGGACACCGTCGGGCACAGCTAGGCCACATCTGGGACATTATCGGCTGGTCCATCTACAAGCGGCATCTCGAGCGACCCGAAGGAAGGGCTAGATACCTCACTCAGTACAGTACGCAGTACCGCCTTACACTTCTCTTCTCTTGGCTGGTGTGATTCACATTTACCCGCAGCTGTGGCTTTGTTCCGCCCTTTGGATCGTCATCAGCTAGGCCTTGATCCAGTCCTGCGCCTCGTCCTCATTCGCCGACGGCGTGGCTGCATGCGAGAGAGTATAAGGCTGCAGGCGACAGAGCTTAAACAGACAAGAAGACGAACAAGAAGAGAATAAAACCGCAAAAGGGCGCCCCAAAGCCCGTTGACGCGCAGCGCAGCGGCCTATCAGCTTATCGCGGGCACCTCCATCAAGGCGCCACCTCGACAGGCCTCGCTACTCGCCTTCCTGTCTGTCCATCCACCACGGACAACAAGTCACAGGCCTACCAGCAGGCAGATATCCAGTACACCAATAACACCACGATACTCGGCGCGCTACTGCCGCTACTGCTCTTCCCTCTCAACCCAGCAATACGGCCATCGGCTTCAGCTCGCTTGGCCAGAGGAGATTACTAGAGACAGATCCGAGAAGACGTGCGTCTCTGGCGGCTCGGCCTTGTGTTGCACTAGCAGGGGGGATTTGCTAACAGCTGCAGAGAAGGGCAGAAGACGAACGCCATCTCACCTCACCATCCCCGTCGCCAGAAGAGGGAAGGGATACTGCTTTCAATAGGACCTTGGATGGAGCACGGCGAGTATACAAAAGGCCAGAGTTTCGATATTTGAACGTCTCGTCCCACCGAAACGGCGCGGAGCCATCTTGATTCCTGCTCGACCTTTTGTTTGTGTGGTGGCCTCTACGGACCTCACCTCACCTCAACCTCTCCACATCACCAACCACCTGCGGCACTCGCATCTATCCTCCTGCACAGCATACCTCGAGGCCGCATATACGCGCATATACGTGCATATTGCTCTGGTTCCGGGCTACCTCTAGGCTGCTCTATCCTGGCAATCTTCCGGTTTATATTCCACATCTTTGCCCGTCAGCTCTGTCTGCGACGTACGGAAGTCTCCCATCTCAACCACCACCGCTAGTGCCCGCGCGCCTCCTCAAGCCTCCCGTCTTTCGCTGCCTCTGGAGCGGAAGTCTTTAAACCCAGCGCCTCCTCCACGTTCTCTGGGGATTGTGGGCCAACAACTGCTCGCCCTTTCGTCATTGTGCTACGCGGCACGCAGGGTTTGGCAGCCCGCTTTACCGAACCCGACGACGCCAAGGCCATCCTGCCGCAGCGACGGAACGAGGGCATATTGCATGCATGGTTGTGTGAGCAAATAGGCGCAACAGAGTTGAAGCTTCTGCCGCACGATACGCCAGGCTTGCCTGCTACTTACCAACAGACATACATCGCCATAGAGCACCACGTCTTTCTGTTCTACACATCCAACCTATAGCACACCTATTCTGCTACAAGGCACTCGATATCTACACTTCTTTATTGGTGAGTCGATCGGCTGTCAACTCCTTTGTCCCTCTCCCCCATCCCTTGTTGCATCCCTCCCTCTGCATATCCACCCCTCCCCTCCGTCACATTCTCCTCCCCCGCGCAGGTGGCATTGCATCGAGTAGACTCGCTGCAACGCCCCTCACGAGCAGCGCAGCAAAGAGAGAAACACTACACCAACCCACGGTGGGCAGATCGCCTTGGCCTGTTTCTTCTTCCCCTCACCACCTCACCACCTCGTTGCTTCTATTTGTTTTCAAACGTCTCATTGTCTATTACTATTCGTCCACCCATGAGAACCCCTCCTCCGCCTTTGTCTCTGCACACTCTTCTTCCACTGCTACCCCGGAAGCATCTCAGGACCTCCAGACGGGCTAATCAGAAAAGCGCGCAGCAAAGGGCAACCCTGTCCGAGACTCTCGTCCGTCCATAGAGGCTTCACCTCGTCCCGTCTCGCGAGCCCTCATCAGCGTCATCGCACCGCGACCTCCTGCGCATCCCGCGGTTTCTTACTCTTTTTTCTAACTGCGCATATTGCGGGTTCCGTTCCCAAGCGCCCGTCACCGCCTGCACCCCAGTTACACAGCAGCCCGCCGTTTCCGCCCCTCCTCATCGGCACCCTGCCACTATTTCGTGCTATTTTCTATTTTATTTGTTTTAGTTTCCTTCGCTGGTACAGTAGCGTTTTAGCAGTAAGTTGCCGAGACGACTTCGGCCCTTGGTCCTGGGCTCACAAAAAAGCAATCGTCCGTCCGCAAACCCCTCCGGAAGCTCGCATCGCATCTTTGACACCTCCCTCCCCCGCGTCCTTTGAACGCTTTGAGCATCTCTCGCCGCCTCGATCTCGATCCTGATCTTGATTCTCGCATCTGGCATCTGGCATCTGGCAGCTGCACCCGTTTCCGCAGCGTCGTGTCTCACCTCGCAACGCTGCCCTTATTTTTGTGTCAGGTTAGCCGCTCTCTTGTCAACCCCTCCTACGCATTTCCTTCTTCCGGGCCCTCCATTTCTCTCTCTCCGATCGCTTGCGCCACGTCAGGCCAACAGGCTCCGTCGTTGCCGCCGGCTATTTGATCAGCATTTGTTTTGTCGCGCACGGGCTGAGCAGCCGGATCGTTTCCTCGCGCGCACTCATACTGACTCCTTCTTTCTCCTTCTTTCGCTGTAGCCGCGCGACCCGTTCCCTCATCAGGCATTATCTGCCGACGCTCGAAACTCCGAGGCCGCTCTCGTCAAGCAAGCACAAAGCGTGCTGAAAGAGCGCATACAAACACCGACAAGAACAAGACAAATTCGTGCCGGCTTCTCCTCTGTCCGCCGACCGCGAGCCTCTCGCACCGAGCAAAATCCATCCGACACTTCTTCCTGCGATGGCCCAGCACGGCTTCGCCCAGTTTGGGTCTGGCCCAAATGGCGGCCACATCGACCCCAACGACCTGGCCATGTCGGGCGGATACACCTCTCCGTCCTTTGCCAACAACAACTTCAACACAGCTTCCAACACAAACGGCTTCTCGAGCGGCTCTGCCGTATTCGCCGATGACGAGCTGCTGGATGGCCTTAATCCTTCAGACGGCCAGTCCGGCCTTCATGGCCAGGGCCAAGACTTCCACGGCATGAACATGGGCTACCAAAACACCTTCCAGTCACACCGCGGCTCTTCCCTTCAGATCGACCCATCACACATCAACGGCTACTCCAACACGCCGGATGGCGACCCCATCCAGAGCCCGTATGCCTACAACACTCACTACCGCGCCCTTGGGAACCCCTTGCAGTCTCCCTTGTCTTACTCGCAGTCACCCCTGGCCGCCGCTGATATGGCGGACGGAAACGACCCCAACTTCCTCAACGCCAAGGCGAGGGCCCGGATGTCCCAGCAGATGCAGCGAAAAGCCTCCAACACCAGAAACCCAATGACCCCCAAGACAAACAGCATGCACAGCATCCCTATCGGCAGTGCCCAAGACTCTCCCGGCTTCGGCCCGCAGTCTCTCCGGACGGACAAGTCGCCATCTGGACATTGGCTCAACACCCCCAGTGGAAGCATCCCAGCCTCTTTCAACTCTGGCTTCTCGTCTCCTATGCAGCCAAGCATGGTGCAGATCAACGAGGTGATGATGAAGGGGGGCACCTCCATGCCTGCTAAGCTCGGCGTGGGCAACGCCATGTCTACCCAGGAGATGAAGCGGAAGCGGCGTCGTGAATCCCACAATCTCGTGGAACGCCGCCGCCGTGACAACATCAACGAGAGAATCCAGGACCTCAGCAGACTCGTGCCCACACACCGACTGGAAGACGAGAAGATTCGCAAGCTGATTTCCAACGGCACGCCCCTGTCGCCCACCCTCACCGGCGTGTCAAGCGCTACCTCTGGCCTCGCCGGACCCGGTGCCAGAAGGGCTGCCGGCGCTGGCGCTGGCAACATCACCACTGGCCTGCCCATCGAAGACAAAGACAAAGGTCCCAACAAGGGTGATATTCTCAACGGTGCTGTCAGCTGGACGCGCGACCTCATGTGGATGCTGCATCTCAAGCTGCAACAGCAGGAGGAGCTGATCAACACCATTGCTGAGCTGGGTGGCACTCTGCCCTTTGAGCAGACCGACGATGAGCGCCGGATGCAGTCCGAGCTCATGGATGCCATCTCCAGGAACGACTCGGGATCTTTCTCCTACAGCCGCACGTCTGGCTCAGGCCTGCGTGTGCCTCATCACACGGACTACCGCGGCGAGCCCACCAATGGCTTGGGCGGCAGCCTCGACTCCGTCGGCATCACTCCCGAAGGAAGTGGCAGCGGCGGGATGCCCGGTGACATTGGAGACACTGCTCAGTTCTGGCACGACCCGGATGACGATCCTAATGCCCCTTTGAACTTCAAAGAGGAGGACGAATACGACATGGACCTTACTCAGTAGATATGAGTAGCTGGTCTTGGCGTCTCCGTCTCGAGGACTTGCCTCTCTCTGCTCTCCCGCCCCGCTGTCCTTGTCCCACCTCCTACTTCCTCTCAAATCTCTTCTGGGCCTTTGATCGATTGCTATCCTGGTTTTCTATTTTGTGTTTCCGCGCGTCCTACTGCGCGCCGTCCATTGGTGTCTACCGGCAATTTTGCAGTGCAACACCTCGGAGATGAGGTCTGTGGGCCTCGACGTATTCCAAGGAACATGTCCGAGTGCCCATACTGGCGGCGTTCTAGGTGTCATCCATTACATCGGCAGGGCCTCGTCTTCTCATTTTCCATTTTTCCTTTTGAGTGATAGGTGCTACAGGCATTTGGCATTGGGCATGGCTTTCACATATAGGATGGATCATGTTTTTCATTTCGTCTCCTGGTTCTTCTCATATCTGGTTCTTTCCATATACTACTGCATGACGGCACAAAGAGGCTGCGTGTCTCTCTTCCTTTTCACACACACCCAACTTTCTACGTATGTCTCTGGCATTGAGAAATCTTTTTCTTTTCTTCTTTCTCCTTTTACAGCTGTCGAGCGCTCTATTGGTACTACAACAACCCGTTATGAGATATGCATTTGTTGGTTTCGTTTAGGCGGGGCACGATACAGAGAGGGACATCTCATAGTGTGAGATGTTTTCCTACGACTGGTATGGTCTTTTCTTCTCCTCTATAGTATCTCGGTTCTTCCATTGCTTTGTTTTTTGTTCTTTTCAAGGGGCACCAGACGATGCTTTCGGTCTTCGCCTGTGGGGGATACCCGGGATGGGCTTGACATAGCTGCTTTTTTCACTCATTTGCCTTTACTTCTTCTTCATTTCATTTTCATGTCTTGTTTCTTTTCGGAGGGGCGATGTTGCGCTTCCTCTTCACATCGGTGTATTTAATTCCATTTTACTCATCAACATTACCCTCCCACCCTTTATGTGTCCCCGTCTTGACCTGCTGTTGCTTTGCATTTTTTTCCTTTTCTTCATGTTCTACTCTTCAGATACCACTTATGACCAATAAACGGCTGAGATATAAAGTCTTTGCTCTGGATTAGCCTTGTGTCTTGTTTCATTTTTTTTTGACGTGATGTAGTCACAATATAGCCACCATGCTGTCCAGATGATGCCACTTCTTGAATTGTCCACTCATCAACTCTCATTACACCAGCAATCGCCCCAGACGTACAACGTCCCCATTCTACCAATGCCGCGTCAGGAGCAGATACTCCCTCACGCCCGTCAACAAAGCCCACGCCTCCTTCCTCTTCATGTCCTCCTGCAGCGCGATCCTCTCGAGCGCGCACCGCCCGTCAAAGTACTTGCACAGCAGCTGCCAACCGGCGCGGAGCTTGTCGTCGCGGAAGCGCCGCGCGATGGCGGCCAGGTAGCGCGACTCCTTGCCGGCGGCCTTTTTGGGGTCGAGGATGATGTGCGGCGTGAGGCCGGCGAGGTGCGGCGCGTCGTTGAGGGACGGGTTGGGCGTGGGGACGGGGGCGACCTTGCGGGCGTGGGCGGTGGCCTTGTCGGCGGCCTCGCGGTGGGCCTTGATGGCGATGCGCTCGAGGCGGGCCATTTCCGCGGAGTGCTCGGCCGCGGAGAGGGTGGATTGTGGTGGTGGGTTGGGGGCTCGGCTGCTGGGAGGGGAGGACTCGGACTGGATATGGGAGTGTGTCTGCGGTGGTGTCTGCTGCTGCTGTTGTTGTTGTTGTGGTGGTGGTTGTGGTTGCTGCGGCTGGGATAGCGGAGACGTGAGTGACGAGTGTGTCGACTGTGCGTCAGCGTTTTCCTGGGTTGTTGTGTGGACGCTGGCGGCATCGCCCCCGTCGACGGACGAGGTGGCCATGCCCAGCTCCTCCGCCTCCATCTCGTAGTCGACCTCGTACAGAATCTCCGGCCACACGACGACGTAAGCAAACGTGCACAGCTGCGTCACCCAGCCGCCGCGCATCAGCCAGGCCAGCATGCGGAGGTACAGCGGCCGGTGGGCCTTGCTGGGCGAGATGTGCTTGTACGGCCGCGGCAGCACGGACAGCTCGGCGAGGAAAGTGGACAGCGGCGGCGCCAGGGGGAAGGCCCTCTGCCAGTCCTGGGCGTCCTGGGATAGCCTCCCGAGGTCGCAGTTGGGAGAGACGATGTAGATGTCGCGGGGGTGGAGAGGCGGGATGGCGATGGCGCGGCGCCAGAAGATGAAGTGCTGGGCATACTTGCGGACCTGATCCAGCGTGAGGATGTTGCTTTGGCCAACTTGGTAGAAGCTTCACCAGATATTGTCAAGTTAGCGAACAGTGAACTGTGAGCATCAAGCACGAAAAGGGGGCGGGGCAGAGGAAGTACTGACGACACGGTCGGTTTCGCGAGTCGCACAAACTCAATCATGGATACGGTGGTGGGATCACGGTCGTTTTGCAGCTCGGCGATAATCTTTTTCTCGTCGTCCATGAGCAGGAGCGCAAAGTTGCGGTCCAAGAATCCAGGTTCCTCAAGGGCGTCCTGGCTCAGAAAGGCGTTGGAGGTCGTGAGCCAGAGGCCACGATGGCGCTCGTCGTCCTCTGCCGGCAGATCGGCCACGAAGAAGGGTACAGGGATCTGAACAGACGGGGTCAGGATGCCGTCCACGGTGTCGAGATGCAATGTCGCAATCCTGTTCTGAGAGATGGCGTTGTAGACTTCACACATTGAGGCTGCTAATGAAGAGTTCTGGATGAGTTCTTTCCACAGAGCACTCATTTTCTTTTCTGACATGAAGTGATTAGCTTCGTCCGACCTCTCCTCTTACAGGATTGCATGCTTCTAGAAACAGGAAAACTTACTATCTTCACGAGCCTTTTCTTTTGCGGCCAGGATACGCTTAGACTCTTTCCACACAAACTCACTGTGCTGCTGGCTATACTGATATGCTTTGTTGACTTTCTTCACGATATTGGAGAACAAGGAGTCGACGAGCTCCTTGGCCTCGTGCCTCTTGGGATTTAGGAAGAAGACGAGGTTGAACATGGTCATGGAGCTGCGCTTGTCTTCGTCCGAGTCGTCCTTCTTGCCATCTTTGGCCTTGTCCGGAGCGAGATCGGCCTTGATGGTGGGTGGAGGATTGGGTTCGTCTGGCGCAATACTTTCATCAACCTCCTTGCTGGCCTTTTTCGTCTTCTTCCACTTCCCGTTTTCAGGCACGTGGATAGGGTAGGAGATGCAGAGCAGCGGGTCGAGGGAGAGTTGAAAGATCTTCTTGTGGTAGGGCCGGGCTGGAGTCAAGATGCCCGCAAGGTCTCTGGCAGGAAAGCCGGCGACGTGCTCCCAAGGAACGACCTGAACGCCCGCCTCGGTGGTGAAGTGGTCGTCCCGGACACCCCCGTCCTCGGCGGGTTCGGGGGCAGACTCGCCGCCGGCAGGCTGTGCTATCTGCTCAAACAGAATGTCCTCGACGTCTATGACATCGGATTTATCGTGCCCGTTGGTGAGGGCGGGGACATGAGAGGGATAGTGGAAGACAAAGGCCGGCCCATCGCGGGAGCGGTTGATGACGAGCGCGACGGCCACGAAATTCTCATCGTTGACGCACGACATGGCCGCAGATTCGGGGAGCTGGGGCGGCTGGGCGCCTTACATGATGCGGCGGAACCAACCACTGCCGCCGTCGGTATCGAGTGATGATGTCTGGTGATGTTGGTGAGCGTCACGATGGAGGCACCATTGACTGCGTCGCGTCCGTGCTCGTGTCCCGGCCCTCTGCGCAGATGCTGGTTACGCTGCTGTAAGCGATTTGACGCCGTCCAGATGAGGTCCTTCTTCTGCTGATTCGCGATGCAGGCGGGTCACCAGTTGAGTCGACACACAAGACACGGGCGCTGGTTGGATTTGGCGACGAAGTTGCTGAGACGTTGACGCTAAGCGGCTTGCGGTCGTTTCTGGGGATAGCAGTGCATCAAGGCCAAGTTGCGACTACCTGCACCTACTGGGGCGGTGACGTGCAACGGCGAGTACACTGTACTTCTCCGCAGATGCTACGCTAGCACCAACCTGAATCTGTCAAGTCGCTAATAATATCAGCTGCTATCAACCCTGTAGCTACGGGTATGACCAGTACCTCAATGTCGACAGGCAACTTGCGCGTAACACGAGCACACGTAGGTTTGTGATGAATTGCATACGCCAAGAGACAAGCATTGGTCGTATCATATTCTCACAGCAGCACATGCGTCTGGCAGGTTACAGTTCCGCTCTGTCCTCCCTGTAGCAGGCTGGGATGATTGCTGCGTTGTCTGGGGTGCTGTATAATACATACGACTACAGCAGTCTAGCGGTGCTGTTTCAGTTCACTGGTAGCGAATGCGGGGCAGCAGTTGGAGAGAGCACAGGCCTGAACTCGTCTAAAAAGGCCCCTGTATCCAACGCCTTCACATGCCAAAAAATAACCACAAAAGCCGTCCAGTGCCTCAACAAAGACGCAGATGGGGGCTTTCAGTTCAAGGTCAGGCCCTAAACCACCACATGTAGCTTACACTATGTAGGAAGGCAAGATGCTACATCAACGCAGTATCGCAATCTGAGGCCGGTAGTTAATCTTGGGTACTATAAAGTGCAATCCATTTGGAAGTCGTCGTGTGCTGTTCATGACTTTTTCTGCACCCGGGCGGTGAACTGATTCGGACCCTGCGATGAAAAGGGACCTCAATCTCAGGTGGTGGTGCCCAAGAGCATAGCGCGGTCACGTTTCAAGCACGTGCAAAGTACCTTTTTGGTGCTGAGCAAGTAGCGTAACGCCTAGACCCGGCGGCAGTCTACTTCTCTGCTACCTTTGCTCAACCTCAGCCCCTTCGCCATGCTGCCGGGATGCTGGAGCTGCGCTAACTGGACACGGCCTAGCAGGAGCAGCAGCTGGCTGGTATCCCAACAAAATTCGCAGCGACAAGCTGATGCGACCTTTTGCCAGCGACTCCAACATTCTGGACCCTGCAGGTTCGAGAGCAGCCAGCGTCGTCATTGCGCAGAGTAGTACATACTTGTACTTGGCGTCTACCGCTTAATCGCCGCCGTTTCGCTGGGATTTCGCAGCTGTCCAAAGTACCCCGCTGCTCCCGGTGCGGAAGCCCGTCGTTCGCCGCTCGCCTCGCCCCCTAATCTAATCCCCAATTAACTTGGGGCCTTGTCTCGTGCCTCTGGATTGCAGCCACCGTCACATGGGAAGCCGTCCGACCCTTCCCCAAGCGGCCCACCCCCGTTCGACGCCTCTTCGGTCTTTTCACACACACAAAGTCGAACCGCTACGGAGGGCAACAGGTCGTGTGTGATTCCTCCAGCCTCTCCCGCGCTTCCGCCATTCGCCAGTCGATTTGAGACCATCCGGGTGCTTTGGCGTACCGTTACGAGAATCCCTTATTCACCGAAGTCGACAACCATCGTCGACCAGACCTCGCGTCCTACCTGCTCTTGTGCTTCGTACGACGAGTCTTATCGGCGCAATTCCGACAAACCAGACGGAAAGAAACTCCTTCCCCGAGCTGAGAACGGCAGAGAATAAGCCCCCCCTTGATATACATTGCGCCAGTTTGTTGAGCGATCGTACCTTGAGCAACGTTGCAAGGCCCATGGTCCAGAACCCAGCAGACCGATTACTATAACGAGAAGAAGAAAGCCAGAGGAAGAAGGAACAGCTATATAACACTATATTGCGCCCCCCGTGGTCCTCCTTCTCTCTTGTGGAATTCTCATTGCATCTTCATCACGTCGTCCGCCGTCCTCTCACACGAAATATCCTTACCGAGACACATTCTCTCTACTCTTGTCGCCATGTCACCAGCCGCCACCACCAAGGGCAGTGCCCACGGACACGTCAGGTTCCTCCCCGTCACCTACGATAGCAGCGATTCACAGTCGGCCCTGAAGCTCATCTTGAGCCTGTTTCCCCAATGGGGCAGCGACGACTCCAATGTCGACTTTGTCCGCTTCACCGATGGCATCACCAACACGCTGCTCAAGGCCGTCAATCGCCGACCAGGCCTGTCCAAGGCTGATATTGATCGAGATGCCGTGCTGCTCCGGGCTTACGGCAACGGCACTGCCGTCATCATCGACCGAGAGCGCGAGGCAGCGAACCACGAGCTGCTGATGAAGCATGGCCTGGCGCCGGAGCTGTTGGCTCGCTTTGCCAACGGAATGCTGTACCGCTTCGTCCCCGGCACCGTGGCCCAGCCCAAGGACCTCTCCGACCCGGCATTGCTTGCGGCCGTAGCTCGACTGCTGGCTCAGTGGCATGCCACGGTTCCCTGCCTTCCCGACTCGGCCATCAAGGGAGAGGAGCCAGCCGAGGACGGCAACCCTGACAGCCCCGACAGTCGCCGCAAGGCCATGATTACAAAGGCAGCAGCCGGCAAGCCGATTCCCAATCTGTGGTCGACCATGCAGAAATGGATCCTGGCCTTGCCTACAGACACGGAGCAGCAGCGCGAGCGACAGGCCCTGCTGCAGCGTGAGCTGGAAGAGATGGTTGAAAAGCTCAGCCAGCGTCCCGGACTCGGAAAAGACGGGGTATGTAGTAGTCTTGATCTTGCGAAAATGTTTTGTCTTTTCAGTAGGTAGCTAACCAGGTGATGTAGTTGGTTTTTGCCCACTGCGACCTCCTCAGCGCCAACATCATCATGCACCGCGAACCCGGCCGGGAGCTATCCGTGAGCTTCATCGATTACGAATATGCGACGCCATCGCCGGCCGCGTTTGATATCTCCAACCACTTTGCTGAGTGGGCCGGCTACGACTGCGACTACTCCGCCGTGCCGACCAGACCGCAGCGACAGGCCTTTATTCGCGAGTACATTGCATCATACGCGAAGCTGTCATGCGAAGAGATGAACCTGGACGAGGAGACTGAGAAGCTCATGAACGAGGTGGATGTTTTCCGCGGGGTCCCCGGCTTCTACTGGGGCATCTGGGCGCTGATCCAGGCCACCATTTCGCACATTGACTTTGACTACGCCTCATACGCTGAGTCGAGGCTTGGCGAATACTGGGCTTACAAGGCAGAGGTTGATGGAAGCCGTGCGGCGGCAGGAAAGGAGATGCCGCTCCGGGAGAAGACGTGGTCACGAAACGAGTAGAAAGACCCAAAATATGACAGAATAGAAAGGGAGGCAAGGTTAGAACGGGATATAGAGCTGGATCAAGGACATGAAAAGGGGAAAACCCAAGCAGGGGGAAAGAGAGTTGGCTCACAATGCCTCAGGCAGAAGCTATGGCTACAGCATGCTCTACGAACATGGCGGAGACGGCAATGAGAGACCGCAACGGGACATGTATTCCCGTGGGGTGATGGCAAGGAGGGCGTTGGCGCTTGTGGGTGCTCTTTTATATATCATATCCCGGCCTGTATTATATTTGATGGACTGGGACTGGCGTGCATCTTTTTGGGAGACAGCCATGGGACTTTCAACTAGCTACGGTATCACGAGCACGAGGTGGCATGGGGAATGAGGAATGGGGAATGGGGATCGACCTGACAGACAGCCGAAGGAGACAACAGACAGACGAGACGAAGGAAAAGGGCCATGCTTTCACTCAACGTGAGCTTGGTATCGGTGGCCCTGTCTTGTCCTGTCTTGCCCTTTGGGAGTTTTACGCTGATATTATTTCGAGTTTCTACCAGCTGAGCCGCTATTAGCATGCGCTTCATTACCTATCAATTCTAATTCATACGACTATTGACGGAGGGCAGTAACAAGTGATTCTCTCTTGCAAATACATTGGAGAAATGGAAAATGAAGCCTGCGGAGAGAAGAATGAAGAGTAACGAGAGAAGAATGACAACGCACCCACCTGCCTTAGCTTCCGATATCGTTTGTAAAGAAATCCCATTACCTTGCCTTAACCTTGCTCATACTGCCGTCTCGGCCGTCCAAGGCTGTAGATACTACAGCTAAGTACCTTATGCATGCAGCAATAAGGTGTCTCGGCAAGCCCTTCATTGGCGGCATTGGACCCCGTAGGAAGCACGTAGAGATGTCGACAATGACAGGTTTAGAGCCAAGAGTGCCCGATCCACGTTTTTACGGGACTAAGGTAGTGTAGAGATGACATCAGGCATGGGGGGTTTCTCTCTCTCTCTTTTACGAATTGTCGAGCGGACTTGCGGAGGCAAAAGCATTTCCGAGGGACGGCAATTGCATGTATGTATGTATGTATGAGTATTATGTATGTATGTATGTTGGTTGGTTGGTTGGTTGGGGTCATGTAGACTGACGTCGGTTTATCCCCCGTACATACTGAAGGCGGAAGAGGTCCCCCTTGCCTGACCTTTTGTTAGTTTCTCTTTTCCTTTTTTGCCTTCTTTCGTCTCTGGTCGATCTTTTCATCTCTCCGGATTCGCCGTATGTATGTACGAGTATGTATGTACATGTATGAGCTTGATGGGCTTTTTGTTCCATACCTAGGTAGGTAGGTATGTGTGGGGGTGGGATTTGCGGCAGTCAGCAGCTGGGATTCGATGCGACTCCACGTCTCTTTTTTTCTTGTCCTTTTTGCCTCAACTACCTTGCCTTGTTCTGGAGGTACTAGTATTTGCCTATGCAAGAGCA